CTTGCAAAAGCCAACTGTTGAGCATGATTTGCAAAAGCCAGTTGTTGAGCGTAATTCGCAAAAGTCAAGTGCAGAGGATGTGAAAAGATCGACATCTGTCATGAATTTCTCTCAAGAAGCTACGGAAACGTTTGATATCGATAGCTTCTTGGATCAGTTGGGACCACGCTACAAGGATTGGTCTGGTCGCAGCCCCGTCCCTGTGGATGCTGACTTGCTTCCTGGTTTAGTTCCAGGGTACAAGCCACCATTTAGGCAACTTCCTTATAGGACTAAAATTAGTTTGAAAGATAAGGAAATGACAGCTTTGCGTAGACTTGCTAGACAAACTGCTCCACATTTCGCTCTAGGTACTGGAGTTTGTGAAGTTGCTTGCTTGTAATTACTTGTACTTAAGCTTCAATTATTTCTTCACACTTTTTTACATATTTGTGGACAGGGAGAAACAGGGAACACCAAAGCTTAGCTGCTGCTATTGTTAAAGTATGGGAGAAAAGTTCTATTGTAAAGATTGCCATCAAGAGGGGGGTGCCAAACACATGCAACGATAGAATGGCGGAGGAAATCAAGGTAAATTGGACATATTTAAAGATCATTATACCACATTATCTAAATGCTTAAAATCACATGAGATTGCTTTATATGCAGATTTTCTGCTTTTGCTTACTTTTTTTTATGAGGATGCAGTATGTTACCAATTGCCCCTTATGACTGATTCGATATTTATTGCATAAATCATACTGTTTGAAACCTTGAAGAGTGAGTTGCTGAGAAAGCAATTCCATGAATGGATATATTTGTTGTTGTATCTCCTTTTCGTACTGTGCAATGTTTTATCTTCCCCTGTTGATTCTTCTGAAGTATGTTTTGAACTCTGAATATGATCATTGTGTCCCTGCTCACGTTACAGCCTATGCATGTTTTTTCATGAGAACGTGTGTCTTGAATCTTTGTAACAAAACACATGCAGAAATTGACAGGAGGAGTACTTGTTTCGAGGAACAAGGAGTATATTAATTTCTATAGGGGAAATGACTTCGTGACTCCTAAAGTAAGGAAGGTCTTGGTGGAACAGCAACAACACGCAATTACTCAGCAGGAACAGGAAGAGCTGGCCAGGCTTAAAGCATCAGCCTCAATTACTCCCATCCCCAAAGCATTAAAGAATCCTCTAGTTGCTGGCACTCTTGCAGAAACTAGAGAAGCCACATCTCGATGGGGAGATTCACTTAATGACGAGCTGAGGAAAAAGGAGAATAATCGTTTGATTTTGGCCAAACATACCTCTCTTTTGAAGAACATGAAGAGAAAACTGATTTTGGTATGTTCTTCAAAATATACATGTAGAGGGGAAGTCTATATTTTCCTATTTTCATTGTTCATTTCCGAGGCAGCATTACACTTTCTCTCTCCATATTTAGAAAATCTAATTGCAGTCTATATATAATAAAAATTAATAACAACTCTTATGTATGTCCAGGCGAAAACAAAGGTTGCAAAAGCAGAGATGGCTTTGGCGAAAGTTCAGGAATATCTCTCTCCAGCAGAGCTTCCAACGGATCTGGAAACTATTACAGACGAGGAGCGTTTCCTATTCCGCAGAATTGGCCTGAAAATGAAGGCCTTTTTGATGCTTGGTACAACCGAAACTTTTCACATAGAAGTTGCAATGTAGGAGGCATAGGGTGAACATCTCATGATTTACCTCTGTTAAAATTTCGTAGGCAGGCGGGAAGTTTTTGATGGTACTGTGCAAAACATGCACTTTCATTGGAAGCATCGAGAATTGGTCAAAATTGTTGTGAAGGGAAAGACCTTTGAACAAGTTAAACATATTGCAATCTCTCTAGAAGCTGAGAGTGGAGGTGTGCTCATTGCACTTGACAAGACAACAAAAGGATATTCAATCATTTTCTACCGTGGTAAGAACTATAAAAGGCCCCAAGTTTTAAAGCCACGGAACCTATTGACAAGGAGAAGAGCAATGGCACGGTCCATTGAGCTCCAAAGACGAGAGGTAACTCAACCGTAAACTCTGATCCTCCTCTTTTTGTACAATTTGTACCTACCTTTTATATATCGGATGGCTGAACATTTTCAGGCATTAAACCATCATATCTCAGTTCTGCGACACAAGATCTGGAAGTTGAAATCACAGCTTGTAAGGCAATTTATATCTGATTTCATCGAATCTAATTTTTCCATGTTAACACTTCTTGATGATGCGCTACACCTTTGTTATCATCATCAGGTACAGATGAGGGCTGCTGGGAGAAAACAGGATGCAGAGTTACTCCAAACAGTTGAGGACGATTTGTCTTCAGATGATGATAATATACAGGTAAATCATTCATGACCAGGCTGGCTTAGCAAAATACTTGATTAGAGAATCGTTTCCTGCAAGCTAGAGTGATTCCTTTCAAGCACTCTCTACAATGGCAATGTACATGTGTCCTTGCATATCGTCTCAGTATCACAGACACTTCACTTTTTTTTGAAAGTACTATCTTAGATGCTAATATTAGTCTCGTGCTCCTTCCGTCCGAAAAAGCTTGTCCCTCAAATGGATGTATCTAGCACCAACACTAACTTGGTGCTAGATACATCCATTTGAGGGACAACCTTTTTCGGACGGAGGGAGTATGATTTTAGTAAGTTGCTTGGGCGATTGCCTCTAAAAACCAAGAGGCTGATAGGTAGCTTCTGCTGTCGCAGGATGAAGGGGATGAAGCTTACCTGCAAACTTACGGCAGCGACGATGAGGACGATGCGGACGATGATTCCAATGAATATCTCTGAGTTGTGGCAGTTTTAACCGATGAAGCTCCAGGCCAGTGTTCTTCCCTCGCGTGGCCAATTGGTAAGTCGACACATGCCTGTGTGGTTTCGAGTTCGGCATTGCTACATCACACCGATAGCATGTATGTAGCCTTCCACTGAAGATGTTGCCAGTATGTGGTTCATATGGTTCCTTACCACCAATGAGGATGTAACTTCAGTGGCATCATTTTGCATTTGCCACGGGCACCTCCATGCCCCTTGTCAAAATGTAGACTCAAACAAGGTTTGCTCTAACATATGGCCAAGCTGGTGTTTCGTTCGACCGTGTACTTTGGTTCATGTTTTATCTGTAAAGCGGGGTAAGAGCTGTTCCGAGAGACCATAAAAATATCTTAGAATCTTTTACATTGTATAATGTAGTGCAAGCAAATTGTAAGGAAACCTATCTATGGATTGCAACGAATAAAACGACAGATCAAAAATCTCACGCGGGGTTTTATTTTTTTGAAGGAATAAAATCCTCCAGAAAACATACATCAACTCAATGTACCACAAAGTCTTACGTTTCTCACGTTTGAAAGGCGCGCTCTACTGAAAGTAGCTTTTTTTTTAGAATCTCTACTGAAAGTAGCCTGAACAATGGCCGTGTTATCCATCTCTTTGGCACAAAATACGTCTCGTGCTGGGCTGGGCTGGGCTGGGCTGAGCTTTAGTGCTTTACCATTTCAGCCCCTCTGCTTCCCTCGCTTTGTGAGTGAGTTTCCCTCCCCTCCCCTCTTCTCCCCGTCTCGAATTTTGAATTCCCGTCGAGTTTCTCCGATCCCCCACTCCGCCTGTCCGCCATGGACCCGGAGCCGCAGCGGTGGGCGGCGACGTACACCACGCAGCTGAGACAGAAGCGCAAGGCCTACCACGACGGGGTCCTCCTCCTCCGCCCGGACTCCCGCCGCCTCGTCCTCCTCGACGACGCCGGCGTCACCATCGACGCCAGGTCCCTCCGCGCCGGCGAGTCCGTGTCCGAGGGCGCCTCCGTCGAGTTCCCGTGCCACCTCGTCGACGTCGGCGAGGCCCAGCACGTCCCCACCGCCGCCCGCCCCGGAAGGCCCTCCGAGCCCGCCGCTCCCAGAGCCGCCTACCGCGGCGGCGCCAGGGCGCGTCACGGCGTGGCCAACACCTGCGCTCCCCGCGCGTTCGTGAACCCACCCACGACCGGCGCCGGCAAAACTGAAGCCACGGGCTCTGGCTGTGCCAGGCCCGCCGGTTCGACGTCCCAAGGTTTGCGCGCCACCTGTTCTACGTATGTCCTGTGGAGGCTGAACAAGCTGGCTCTGCCCTGCCCCGAGGGCTGAATGAGTAGGATGCGCTTTTGTTTGCAGAGTGGAGCGCGATGTACACCACCCAGGTTTCGCAGAAGGCTAAGAGGTATCACGACGGCTTCGTGAAGCTCGTTCAATCTGGGTTGTATTCCAAGCAGGTAGGATGCAATGCGCATCTCTGATAAGTGTTTTCCATTCGTATATCGAAGGCCGGAGATGCTAGTTAGTAACCATAGGCTGATTGGCATGCGATCAGTTTATTTCGGGTGATAAAATGTCTTGAATCATCGTGTGAATTAAAATGTTTCAGATCGTTTTGCTGGATGAAGAGGGCCAAGTACTGGGGACCAGGCACCTCAAGTCAGGGGAGTGTGTGGGAAGCGGCAAGAAATGCAGTTTTCCTGGCTATCTGATTGAGATCGGCGAGGCCACAAATCTAACAAAGGTTGGTTTCGTACATCTAGTATAGATAGACTTATGTGCCAAATATGCTGGTGTGCCTCCTGAGACTTTCTGATTTCTTGTTGCGACTTATAGAAAAATCCTAGAGAACATTTTCTGTGCTGTCATTGAAAGGATGTGTTTCTGCATTGATAAATATGAAGGTGGAGAACCTAAATCTTCAGAAGAACACATGGTGCAGACAAGACCAAAGGGAGTGGAGAATGCGAATAGCAAAATGGGAATTGGAACAACAAGTTCCCTGAAATTCATCAGTCCACAGAAGTTCCATTGTAGGTGGACTTGAAGTTACAAATCCTTCCAGCATATCATAGTGAGAACCTCATTTGTCTCAGCAATTTTGGAGCTTTTGACAAGAGTAAATCAGAAGCCACTTCTAGTTCTAACAAGCCAGAGCTTGGAAAGAGTGAAGTTGCAGCTGCTGGCAGCACAGGGAGCCTTATGGGTTCAGCAGACTCAAGTTTCAAAGGTTAATGTGTAGCCTCCCGTATAAACGATGCTTGTGCTTTGAACATGTAATGTATTATTTTTATTATATATTGAGGCTTATATAGAATGTGCATCCTTTTGTAGAAGTGGAATGGAGTGTCTTATACACTGCCCAACTAATTCAAAAGGCAAAGAAGTTTCATGATGGCGTTATAAGGCTTGTCCAAGCTGGTCCAAATGTAAAGCAGGTTAGCAACCAACGCTCAGTTCTTAATGGACATGCTAATTTGAGGTTGGTGTTTTATGATAGCTTTAACAGAGGAGATGCTGTTGGATTATATCAAATCAAATGCTGTGATGACTGTACAAAGGTGTTTTTAGCTGTATTAACTGTATTTGCAGATTCTTTTACTGGATGAAGAAGGTGGAGTGCTTGGCACCAGATATTTCAATCCAGGTGAATCTATTGAATGTGGAAAGAGATGTCAGTTTCCTAATCATATTATCGAAGTCACTGAGCTCAGAAATAAAATGAAAGGTTAGTTTCGTTCGTGCTTAAGGACAGTCATTTTTGTATCCAGTTTTCCACTTATAATTCTGCATCTGCAAATAGGTGAGTTCTACTTGTAGAAACATATTTTTTTGTTCTGTAACATGTGAGATTTCTTATTAGTTTGCTAATTTGTATGCAGATGTAGAACACACACATGCTGCTGGGGAGGCTTCAAGTCACACAGTGCCTAAGAATGGAGAGAATATGCGTGAAAAGGATGACAAAAGTAAATCTCCAAAGTTTGTTAGTCCATTCAAGCTCCATGGTATGTGATCACAAGGTTACACAAACATTGGACGTGTCTTCCTGCTTACCACAATTCTATTTGCAATCATTCATCTGTCTCCACAATTAGCAGATCATCGGAAGACTAAAACAAGAAGCACTACCGACTCTAACAAGCCACAGGTCGGAAAATCAGCATGTAGTAACGTGGGCGATCCACTTAACTATCATGGTAGCTGAGCTTAACTTAATAATCAGTTTGTTCTATTTTCTGCTGCATGTATATCTTAATGTAGTAAAGCCGCTGTTTGTTTCCAGTATTTACGGATCTTCAGAGGGGTAAACCAGATTGCACGGTTGGTTACAGAAGAACAGACCTGGGGTCAACATCTAGCGACATCGACAATCAACATAAATTCAATGGTACCTGGGCTTAATTTTACACACTATTTCTAATATTTTTGCAGTTGCTTATATACTTTTATGTAGTGAGACACTGAGACTGCTGGTGGTTTCCAGATTTTGCAGATAACCAGAGGGGCACATCAGAACTATCTACCAGCAAATCAACATTTAATGACCTGGGAAAATCAACATTTGGTGGAATGGATGATCCACATAAATTTGATGGTACTTGGGATTAATTTTACGCACTGTTACTATTTCTGCAGCTTCTTGTATACTTTTATGTAGTGAGAGTGAGACTCCTGGTGGTTTCCAGATTTTGCAGGCACCCAGAGGGGTACATCAGGATTTTCTACCAGTTATAACCGGCCAGAAGTTGGCAAATCAACATTTAATGACCTGGGAAAATCAACATTTGGTGGCATGGATGATCCGCATAAATTTGATGGTACTTGGGATTAATTTTACACACCATTACTATTTCTGCAGCTTCTTGTACACTTTTATGTAGTGAGAATGAGACTGCTGATGGGTTCCAGATTTTGCAGATATCCAGAGGGGTAAATCAGGATTTCCTACCAGCTATAACCGGCCAGAAGTTGACAAATCAATTCTTAATAGAATGGATGATCCACTAAAATTTTGTGGTACTTGGACTTGATGCTCATACTTTCATCCTAGCTCTACTACTGGCTGGTGTTTGAATGCAAAAAATAACCATGTTTATCCACAATTTGCAGGTCTTCGGGATGGCAAATCAGTGTGTCCCACTAGTTTTGTCAGGAGAGAGGTTGGAAAATCAAAATTTGGCAACGCTGATGATTCTTTACGGACTGGTTTGTAAACCTTTACTGAACTGCTAGCTTAAATATCTTTGCATAGTTCCTTCCAGACAAGACAAATAGGAAGAAAAATAGATTAGTTTGTTATGCACCTGTGGTGAATGCCACAAGGACAGTGGACTTTTGAGAGGCAATTTACTGCTATTCCTTGGACTAGCCAAGAATCATGGATACACAACTCAAATATGACAATCCGATCAGTTGTTATACAAAGAGTGAACATATTTTAACATGTAAAACAGTAACTGGTTACCATTCATGAAACAGATTACAGCTGGCATTGTGTAATATACCGTACATAACATGTAACGCCAAAGTTAATGGTGAACAAGTAGGGTTTGTTATTCGAGACTAATGCTCAGCTAAGGCGGGTTCGAGTAACTCCACAGTACCAACTCCGAATTAGTTTGATATAGGTGTCAATTAACAGTTCAGGATGTTTGATTGCTTGCACCGTGAACTCGTGAAGTGTTCAGTTACATAGCACCGTGAAGCAACTGTTGCAGAGTCGTGATGTATGGAAAATGGTTCTTCCTTATTTCCTTTAATTCGCTTGATAGGTAAATAGTAAATCTAGATACATGATTCTGTAAACATTACAAGCATTAAAATTTGAAACAGCCGTGTTCTATTCTTCAGTTATGCACATTTTCCTCAACTTGTTCTTGCTTATTACCAGAAGACTAATTGACAATCAAAGTTCGGAACGTCATAATTTAGAAACAAGTACTTAAAGAGTCCCCACAGTGCTGCACTAGTTATTGCAAAGTAAGATGCTCATTCTGAAGGAAATATTTTTTCCAAGGTGCCTGCTTGATCCTTGTGGTATCAACTTGGATGGCTTGCACAACTACTCCAATTCATGTTTATTGATGTGTTTGCACAACTACTCCAATTCATGTATATTCATGTGCTTTTATATTAATAACAATAACGTCATTTTGATCTATAGCTTCCCAAATACTATCTATCATGAAGCCCCCAGCTGGATTGTCTCACTTTGCTACCCAGCTTCGTACATCTGTGCAATCTTGCTTGAAGCTGGATACTGCACATGCAAAGAACTCAGCAATCACTCATAATAGGAATGAATTATCAGGGAATGCTTATCCAACTTACAATCATCAGGCCATCATGTAAGATGTTAATGCTTTGTTTCATGTTTAAATTCTAGAATATTGCCTTATAGTGAGGCTCCAACATGACAAATAGAATAACAAGTGAATATTGACACTAATGATGTTTCTGTAGGAAACCACCAGCTTTTGATGCTTCGGACTTGGAATTGATAGATCTCCCAGGATCTGAGATGTGCAATGCAAACGAGCAGAAACTAGAATCATCAGGCAATCTTAACACTGTAAACTGTAATGGTACAGGTAAGTTGCTTCAGTGAACTTATTCACACCGAGACCAGCTTATACATCTTACCAAGCGTCCGTGCCAGTGCCACGCGAGACTAAACGACAAATGCTGCCATACTGGTCTGTACTTGACAGGTTCTGCGCCAATTCCGAATGACACTAGCATGCCAAACGTGCGAGAAGACAAAAGTGGAAGTGCAGATCAGGTTTGCACCCTATGCTGTCAAAATTTTCCCTGGGGCCTTGTTCGGTTCCTTCAGATTTGAAGGGGTTTGGAGGGGATTGAGAGGGATTAAATCTCCTACAAGTCAAAATCCACCTCAATCCCCTTGTGGGAGGGATTAACCGAACAAGTCCTGAGGAGGAAAGTTTTAACACTGAATTTGAGGAAGCTACTGCTTCAGCTTACTGTCAAAATATTGTGCGCCCACAGCCGGAGTTTCATTATCATCAGATGAGGCTATGGAAGTTCTAGTTTTAGTGTTACGTCATAAAAAAAATCTTGCACATACTATGTTATGTTAGTCGTCTGACTTGTGCCATTGTGCGTCTGCAGCTCGGTGCAAATAACACAGCAGAGGACCCTAAATATGATGGCCCTTCTCGTACGTGTAGAGATCCCACGATCCAGGATTTGATAGATGACTGCCCTTCTTTTGATCTTGGCTTCTAATGGAAGTGGAAGGTACAGCTCTATTTTGTACTCGTGCTGCATAATCTTTACTCCTACAAAGATGTCTACCTCTCTCCTATCTTCGTCAGTAATTTGTATGCCGCCCCTGACCCAGCTCCTCCTTATTGATAGAGCCTACTATATGATTTTATTATTTATAATAACTTAGGGACAACTTGCTAGTCACATTAGATAACATAATCTGGGATATTTGCTTCGCATATTGCACATAGTGAAGCATGTCTGAACTTGACCCATCTCGAAGCGCATGCTTTACTTGCACAAAACTCGTATTTTGGGCATGTTTCACATGCCGCGTTTTGAAGCCACAAATCAGGATGAAAGTAAAAAAAATCTTGAAATATCTTCCGTGGCAAACGCAGCTTCTGTGAAGACATGAACCGGTCACCATCGACCATCCATGACTTGGTAGAATCATACTGACCTACGTAACAAAAACCCACGCCTTTCACAACAGCACAGTAGAAGTTTCTCCTTGCCCCTTTCGTCTCGCCGGCAGCTGATCACTGCAGCACGTGGTGGTGAATTGGATTCACGCGCCTACGTCCCACTCGTGGACCAACAGCTGCTGGATCTATCTATGTACTGTCGTTAGGTAAAACCACCGGCTGCTACATGCCCAATAGAGCACCAATACATACGAGGCAACTTCCAGGCCTAACCCGTGTACACTCGTTCGCTTCTCTGCTGCCGCCTACCAGTTGGGAAGCTGTGCACAGCTTTTGCACGTTGTCTAAAAGCCTTGCACGTAACAGGAAAACGCACAGCCTGTGGCAACTGGCAAGCCAGAGATTGCTCTGTACAGTCCATTCGAAATGTACGCTTGGACGGCTTCAGAAACGAAAATATCTGTGCAGAAACTGTTGACTCGTGTGGTTTCCTTTGCTTGCTTGCTGAGCTTTGCTTTGCATTGTATGCAGGGTGCCGTGCATGGCTTGGGCGGACTGTGTCACGAAACGATCAGATCTCTTGATTGCTGGCGAGAGATCAGGCAAAAGCAGCAGTTTTTCTCAAGAAATTAGGCGCGTTGAGCGGGTGAAGGAATGATCCTACGTGTGGGTGGTCACTGTACAGTTTTTTACTCTTGTCTTGCGTCCTTGTTTATGTTAGCGAGTGATTGCTTTACCTTTTGAGTTATACTACTAATATATAGCATGGCCTTTCCGTTGCTTTACCTTTTGTTTTATAAATATAAAGCATGGCCTTTTTGTTGATAAAATCAGAGACTGAAACATGTATTTGCAAAAAAAAAAAACATGTATTTGCAGTGAAAAGTCATGGATGCTGTTTATAGAATCGAAATCTCATGGAGACTTTTTTATATTGTTGGCAGTTTTGTGGAAATCAACGTTGTTGAGACTCGTTTCAAAACAGAAAGTCCATACGGGTTCCTTTGATTTGCAACGTTTCTAAGACATGAGAATAGGAAGAATACAAAAATGACACGTGTTCTTCAATTCTAGCCTTTGTTGCGAATTATAAAAAACATTTTGGATATTTTAATGTGGACTGCATACGGATTGAAATGAGTGAACAAACACACTAAAACACATCTATACACCTGATTCAGAAAAAAGTTGCAGCATCTTATAATTTGGAACATATGGAGTATATGATTATTAGGAAACTATAGGATTAGCATAAAATAGTGTATGACCCACCCCAACAAAAGCAAATAATTTTGTAACAGAATGTGTTAAGTGGATGGATTTTCTTCTTCAAAATAGAGTGCAAACAAATCTTCTTAAAGAAAAAGGTCCTAAGATTTGAATCATGTGGACGAAATGACGTGCACAGACTAAACTCATGATAAACTGTATGTGAAATTCATTTGAACCAAGGACCTATAATTGTCACAGCAAAATGTTAAAGAGGTCTATTGAAAAAAGAAAAAAAAAGTTAAAAAGAGGCCTACTTTTACTGCTCGAATACATACATTCATTTAGTACGTAAATAATGTTTGAAGCAATGAGTAGTGGTATTGTTTTTGGTGGCGGAGTGAGTCACACATCTGGCTCAAGTGGAAGGTGATGTGGCGGCATCAGCGGGGCACACACGTCCCCACACACACCGCCCCCTACTGCCTACCCATCACACCACTCCAAGCAGAAAACAGCAGCAAAATATAATAATACAAGTTACTATTAAAAAAGAAAACCAAAGGGAGACGAGGAGAGAGAAACCTATGGATAGGATTCCACAGATTCCCATCGAGATCGAGGTCGAGGTCGAGGAGGCCGCGAGACGGCACGGATCCCCCCCTCGCTCGCCCCCAGAAACGGAAAACCGGGGAATAAAATCGTAGTCAAAGACGGACGGGGAGGACGAGCAGCAGAGCAGCAGCGGAAATCCAGCCTTCGTCGGAAGCACGGCGCGGCGCTGTCAGTCGGCCAGCCAAGGTAAGTAACAAAAAATGACGAGAAAATTTCTTTCTTTTAAATTTCATTTCACCAGTAACAATAATAAGTAACTAAAAATATCTGTCTTTGCGTCTGATTGTTCCCCTTGCTTTGCTTTCACGTCATTCTCCGGGGGCAGCAGACAGACAAGCAACGCAACGCAAGGGACGCAAGAGAGAGTGCTCCGATCCCATCCCCTGCCTGCCCGCGGTCTCCGCGAGCTCTTCTCCCCCCTTCTCCATTTATTAGGGGCAGGTTCACTTCTTGATCCACTCGTCTCACCTAATAGTACTAGCTCGTAGCCGGCCGCACGGATCAGCGCCTTCCTCTTCGCCGCTCAAGCTTCCGGCACCCGGCTCAGAATCTTCACTTCGTCCCGGCTCCACTTCTTGCCGATCCAGGTCAAGAACCCTCGCCTGAAATTTTTCTTGCTCCATGATTGCCCATGGCGTCATGCCATCATTCGATGGAGTCGAGGTTTGGGGTTAAAGTTAAAAAGATGTGTCAATCCGAGCTGTTCCCCGGGCCAGATCCGGTCGCCATGATTCCTCTGCTTCCTTGATAGGCGTCGGGGTCGGGGGTCTGTCGGCGGTACTCGCGTAATCTTTTACTACTATATACTTACCTTCCAAAGTCACACTACCACTGGAATTAGTAGCGACGGTTACTTTCTTCTTGGCGATGGATGGAAATAGTAATGGTTGCTTCCTTTGGGCCTTTGGGGAAGCAGCATAGGATACATGGTACTAGTATCATTTACAGCGTAGCACTGTCCTACTCCTATATCTGGCGTCCAAATTAATTTCGACACGAAGCAGTTCACTGGGGACGTTTGTGAATTGTTTACATCATAAGCTTGAGTTTATCCAATAATTTCGGGAATGTTTGTGAGTTATGCATGTTACTTTGTGGCTTTCATCTCTTATAGAAGGTTTTGGTGATGCTATTTCCGCTTTATGCGACATGTGTGTATGAGCTAATGCTGATGGTCAACTTCCTGATGTGCAGGCAGCTTCTTGACATGCGACACTGATGGCGGCGGCAGAAGCGAGAGCTGCTTGGCAACGGGCCGCAAACCGCTGCTTATTTCAGGAGGATGCAAAGAGAGCTCCAAAACTGGCCTGCTGTCCACCGACAATGCAACAGCATGAAGCAAACAGCGGGAACCCCACCAGTCCGCGAGACTGCCACATCCCGAATTTCATGCATTTGAACTGGAACCCGATGAACTCCAATCAGCCAATAGATGCCTGGTTTCTTCAGCTGCAGCCCAATTTCGGGTGCCACAAGGTGCTTTCTGGCGAGCATCTGAATTACATGGGCGGAGAAGCCAATGCCAAGAAAGTGGACAGTTCCTCGCCTGTCTCTACTCTTGACGACATCAACACGAAGAAGAGCGAGTGCCCTTCTGAGCCACCGTGGATGATTTCGACGGCTTTTATGAAGCAAACATCTGAAGCACCTTGCGAAGGGTGCCCTCAAACGAGTCTCAAGTGCAGAGGAAATTCCAATAACTTCCTTCACGAGGATAAAGAGGTTATGGACTTCAAAACTTTTGATCCTTTGTTTCCGAAGAAACCGAAGAAGGCATGCTATGAGATGGATCCACCTTGGGAACAAGACAGGAAGTCTCAGCCCTGGTGGCAAGTAGCTGACGAGGAAGGATTGGCTTCGCTTGTTGCAGAAAGAGCAATGCAGCACATTGAGAACAATGATCTGCCAAAACCCACTCAGATAGTGCGTATTCATGGGGCAAAATTGAACGGCCATGAAAACAAGGATGGCTGTGGGAATTCATCTTCTTCTTCTGGTAAAGAGTCGCAGCCTCAACTTCACGACACTATGATGTGCAGCTATAGCCTCTCAAGCACCAATGAGATGAATTCATCTGACGGTGGAGGCTGGCAACAGACTCGCAAAAATGATGCGCATGGGTATGTGTGGTTTCATTTGTCTTGTTTCATAACCATCAAAACTACAACTAGGAGCCCTCCTTTGTAGATTTGCACGCCACACGTACTTTCTTTTCGTTTATTATGTAGTTTTTCACTACAAGGAATCTTTTATAGCCCCATTATCTGCATATTACATCCAACCCTAGTTAGGCTGAAATTAAAGGAACAGGCTGTTTAATTAGCTCCAGTCTGTATATATGTAGTGAATCTCTGTCAGTCCTTTGTGCGTTCTCATAATCAAAATTGCAAGCCAGTTAAACTTGTTTTCGGTAATTTTGCGACAAGAACAAAAAACTTATTTTGGATAAAAGGTAAATGCACCCGGGTAAAAGTTGGCTGAATTTAATTTTAATGTAATATGGCATCATGTCCACTGATGTCCATTTTATGCCTCTTTTGTAGTATATTGTTATTATGTTATTCCTGGAAATACCTCAGGTGCCCTTTCCTTCATCCAAGCTTCTTCCAGATTTCTGTGCATTTATTTATATCATTACATTACATTTGAAATGCAGGGGCACGCAGGATTCATATAGTAGTGGTGATCATACACCAGGCAGCAAGCCCACATATCAGAATCAGAAAGACGCCGAGAGGGCCCAGCTACTGGACGCTCTTCGCCATTCGCAGACACGGGCTAGGGAAGCCGAGGTGGCTGCCAAGAATGCTCATGATGAGAAAGACCATGTCGTCAAGCTACTGTTTCGTCAGGCCTCGCACCTCTTTGCGTGTAAGCAGTGGCTGAAAATGCTGCAGCTGGAGAACATATGCCTCCAGCTCAGGCTGAAAGAGCATCAGATAGCAGCCATGTTCCCGGAGCTTCCCTGGACGGTGATGAAGGATGAGAAGGCCGAGCCAGAAGGGGAGCGAAAAGGCAGGGCAAAGAAGAAAGGCAGGAGGCAGAACAAGGAAGGTGGCTTCTGCAAGGCCATCATGTTTGCAGTTGGCGTAGGCATCGTCGGCGCGGGATTGCTCCTTGGCTGGACCTTTGGGTGGCTGCTGCCCAGGTTGTAAGTTCTTCTACCTAGCGTGCAGTTCGACGAATAGGTGGTAGGTAAAGAAAGCTCCAGATATCTGCTTTGTGGAGTAGGAGGATGAAATGATGGAATTCTTAGAACCACTCATATTTGGAAGCCTTGCTGGTGATATCTCTGCGCGGTCCACGCCACGCCTTTCGTGTATATATAGGAAGGGTTTTAGTGTACATATTTGCCAGAAATGGGTATTTCTGGCACACCTGTTGGTTCCATGGGTGATGGGTTGAAGGTGTAAATAGTGTGCCTGAGTGGTGGTGGAACTTCAAAATCAGTCGACTTGAACGGTGTGTAAGCCTGTACTGTAAGTATGTCTGTTTAGACAATGTGTACTGTAAGCATATGTAACTTTGTTGTCTTCTTGATGTAAGAGGAGTTGTATTAGTCGCTGGTTGGTAGCGACTACATGTAAACCTGGGCAGCAAGCCTATAACTTGGTTCTTTGTTTAATGTATGTAAGCGAAGTTGTATTACTCAGCTTGGTGTTGACCAACTGAGCACAATTTGGTGGCAATTTTATCTTTTTGTTGTTCTTGTTGATAGTTTAAAGTTACCGAGAGTTATTTTAATCTCAGAAAACAAAGTCCATCAAGCAGTAGGGTTGCAGGAGTGACTCTTTCTAGCTAAATTCAAAAGTTAACACGTGCAAAACAGATTGAGATGGGTTGTATCAAAAGCTCCAGGAGAATATCTATAACAAGGACATTTACAAAGAATCTATCCTTGTCAGGAAATCATTCCGCAGACTGAACTGAAACTAGTATTACAACAGTGAGGGGGGAAAGAAATACAGTTTCGCACTCCACTGACTAATGTGGGAGTGGCAAACGGAAATTGCGCAGAGACGCTTCATCAACACTCGGTAACTGATTACCTATCCAGACCACGGCAACGAAACGCGCAGAGATGGCTCCCGAATCCAGAGATGACATCCACCAGACCCCCATGCCCAGCAACAGCTGCCATCTGTAACGGCATGGGTAGCAAGCAAGTGAGAACAGGATTTCCAGCCCCAGATATTGGGAGATGATGCAGACCCAAGAAGTGGTCTCGACTGAGCACCAAAAGGGACATGGATACATACCCCGGACGAATGCATGGAGACGGAAAATGCCGATGGAGGAGCGCACTTTATTTGCGAAACAACAACCCCGTTGATCGTGAAACGGGAGAGCGCAGGTTCAGCGCCAACCGCTAAAATCTGAGTGGACATGGATGAAAAGGAAAAATGCCGAAACAGTTAGCATGCTATTGGAAGCAAAAGAGTTGAGATAAACCATGCATGTCACTTTATTGTTTATATTACTCAACTCCCTTTTTCACATAAATAGTCTGGTAAATCTCCAATAAAATTTAAGGTGAAAACAATGGGGTATTTCTTGGAAGAAGAATACAGACTATTTTATCTCTATTTGAAGTGTCGTCCTTATATTCTCATTTCAATTCTCTCATCCAGCAACATTGCAAACTATAATTTGCCAGCCACAGACTAAAGAGCATTAAAGACAAGTCGCCATTTTATTGCATACTTTCTGCACTTGTGTGTGCTGGATCTCGAGAGGAGATCCACTAACATTTTTTCTGACCTGCAAAGTTTGTATTATGCAACTGCTTGAGAGCTACTTGGTCTTGGTTTGGCAGTCAACCAAATCTCAAATGCTTGGAAAAGGCTACTGGTGTCTTCAGTGATAAATCTCGAAGTCTTTTGTGATAAATCATACACCAGTGGGGATTGTTGTTCGCCTTAACCATATCAGATGCATGGAAATGATTGAAGTAATTGGATATGTGGGTGTCTAGTTTGTTATAGCCATAGTGCTTGCTAAACTCACTAAAGACAAGCATATGTCTCCAGTATTATTGCCTGTCCACTTTTAAGCCAATGATGAGCCGCTTCTAATGATGGGCATTGAGTAACCTTGGAAGTTCACCATACACTGATCATTTCCTGCCGATCTATAAACTAGTGACGAGCTATTTTCTATTAATGAGCATTAGATAACCTGACCAGTTTACAAGGCATTACTATAGTGGATGTTTCTTATCCATCTTCAAACTAAATAGTATGAGTTATTTCTAACGATGAGCATCGAGCAACCTTACCATTTTTTTTTTAGGGAAGCAACCTTACCAGTTTACTGGACACTAGTTTAGTGGCCATATGTATCATGAGTTACACTGAGTCATTGACCAATTTATTGAACAAAAGGGAAGGTCCATTGACCAGTTTTACTAAACGTGTTCTCGGTTAAGTTTTGGTGTTATGGGTTTTAGTTACTGTCCTATTTATATTTTGAATCGGTGAAAAAAGGGAAGAAGTGTTCGTCTATAAAACTCATAGGTATGAGCATTATAAAAACTGCTTTATTTTGAAGTTTTATTCCAACCTAGCTAGCTAACTAAAGGTCTTACTTGGGCAGGGAGGAAACAAATGAAAATGTACAGATCAGCACTTACTTGATTTTTGTCAAACAACAGATCTTGAACAGGAGCACCACAATCTGCGTTAAAGATGCACTCATTTGAAAGAAGACTCCAAACTGATATACCACTAGAAGTACCACAAGCCTGGGAATAGTACAGCCCAAAAAAAATTAAGATACATAGCATATATCAAAAAACTTGGCTAAAACTAACAAACACTTAGTATCTATATGAGCCAGATGTGCCCAATACCAGCCAACTTTCACTCGCATCAATGGCAATGCAGCCGACCCACGAGCCCTCAAATTTCTTGTTCTGTACTGGACGTATCGTCTGCGTACACTTCCCACTTCTGCAATCTGGAGTGTCCACAAAGAGCATGAATAAGCATGATAAAAGAATAAAAGCCTACCAAAATTGAACTCATACGATAAATTTTGTTAGCATGTTGCATCAGTCTTATGGCCAGAGAAGTAAAACTAATAGGAGCAGAGATTGCTATAGCATGTTGCGTGTTTTTCTTTGAACAAACTAGAGAGGCAGATATTGCTTTCAATACCACTAGGAACTGGAAGAGCACAGATAAGCCATATTTAAACAAAAAACAAATACAAAAACTTTCTCGAATTGAGAGGATTGCTCACCCCAGATACGGGCTGTTCCATCCTCTGATCCAGTTACCACCTAAAAAAAGCGCAAGTTTGTCCATTAATAGCTCAGGTTTTCATAAGACAATGTTACAGTACTAAAATAATGAGCTACCTGGTGGTTCGCTTCACGAACTGCGATACTATGCAAATAGTCAGTATGCCCCTTAAAGGTCATTTTACACTTGCCACTTTCCTGAGACAAGCAGACATGAGCGAAACTATTCTCAGACACCTCCTCAAGCAGTCACATAGAACATTAATACTATGGATATGGAAGCTTGTGACTTAAATGATTCTTAGGCAGAAGCATATTTCATTTTAATTAATTCAGAACTTCTATATGTCATATTTTACCTCAAGAAAATACATACCACATCCCAGCAATAAGCACATGCATCACCCGCTGCCGCAAAAAGAGATCCATCCTGTTTGAAAGAAGCGTAGTGGAGAAAATCAATATCCAACAGAACCAAATAAGGAATCAAGCATTCTACGAGAAGAATGAGAACAGACTGCACATAAGAGGCTGGTGTGCTGATTGCTTTCTTCAAACAGTGTGAAAGTAAGCAAATATGAAGTACTGACCTGTTTGCTAATTGCAATGGCATTATTTTCTGGTATTGGAGACCGTGCACCCCAAGGGCCTCTATAAATTGACAGAAACATATATGAGAAAATGGAGGGCGAGAGAACTGGTGTATTCCTCAGGAACAAACAACTGTCAGATCTGCATGTCCAATTGTTTAGTATGGAATCTTACTCATGCTGAGGGTTAACCAAGTCAAGTATTGGTTCAACATGATCCCCTGGGGAAAAATGCAATGGTAAAATATCATGAGAAAGATCAAAATAAGTGCTCTACGTATTAATAAACAACCATTATTTTTTAGGTAGCTTAGCTAGACAGATAATTTGTTTCACTCTGCACTCATAGTAATATATTTGACTCAACTCATTGACAAACTATCATCTTTTTCATCAAGCCACAGGGATAATATCGACATAAAGCATCTGAAAAGCATTTTTAGTTTCATAGAAGTGAGCACAACTATCAAGCACTTTTACAACTGTTGATTTAGATTTCATTCATGCTCTAAATTAGTAAGGTTATATAAGATTTCATTCATTTATACTTCTTTATTCAACTGCTGTAAATCAACTATAGTATATAAGATGAGACTGAGAATATGCACAAGAAGCTGAATGTGCAAGATTGACATCTTTGCTAGTAAAAAAAATGTAGCTTTCTCTTCTTACTGAAAGTACATCTATGTAAGAACAGCTAGTTAAGCCCAATTCCAACTAATCTAGCAAACCAAGCCACGAACGAGAGCTCTTGTACATTACCTTGCAGAGAGAGTGGCAGAAGGCAGCTCTGCATCTCGTGCCATCTCCAACCCCGAATGTGGCCGTCATCCCCGCAGCTGTCACGAGCAATGGATCACATTGTAAATTTTCCTTCTTGAGAACACTCTTGGCCGACAATCCCACGGCATCAAAAGAGAGGAATTGGTGAGAAAGAAGAAGCATTTACCTGAAGAGCAGCGGCTGAATCGGATCATTGTAGAACTTGGCGTCGTAAACGGGGCCGCTGTGCGCTTGGACGATAGAGACGGGGTCGACCAGCGCGGCGGCAGCCGGCTGAATCAAATCAAGGGGAACGGGGCGTTTGTATCAAACACGGAATAGAGCAGGGATGGGGGAAGAAGGGGGAGGGGGGAAGCGAAACCTGGGGGGCGGCGTGGGCGGAGGCGGAGGAGGATATGCAGGAGGACAGCGAGAAGGAGGCGAGGGAGCCGTCGCTGGAGGCGGCGGCGAGGAGGACGTCCGGGTCGGCTTCGTCGCGCTGGTCGTAGAAGACGGCGCGGAAGAGGGTGCGGCAGGAGAGGTCGCGCTCCCGCAGGATGCCCCGCCGGTACGCCGCCTCGTCCCACTCGCGCGCGTCGAGCCCTGGCTGCGCCGTCGCCGCCGCCGCCGCCATCTCCTCGCGATTCTTCGCTGCTGCTGCTTCTGCGTCCGGCAGTGAGGTACAGGGGGGCACAGGTCCGGAAAACAGCGGCTGGGCCTTGGATAAGCGTGCGGTGGGCTGGGCTGGGCCGGGCCTCGCATATATATGTGTTTTTTTCGAATTTAGAGGCAAACTGTCGAGAAGAGTTTGCAAGTTCAAAAAGTGAATTCTAGGAGAGTTTGCCTTTTTGTATATGATCTCTTCATATATATATATAATTACTATGCACGGGGAATGAATCTTTGGTCTTTGATTTATTTGTGCTTATGAAGATTTTGACATGGATCAAACATCAGCAACGTTTAACCCGCAAAAAAAAAAAACATCAGCAACGTCCATATAAAAATTTACCTTGTTCATATTTTTCAAATCCTCTTACTAAATTAGGTGGTTTATATAGAAAATTTAGAGACCTATCAGTTGAGCATAGGCTTATAACTTTTGTCTCGAGTTAAATGCTGCACAAAAGTTACCGAGTTTTAGGAAAAAAATATTCACAACTACTACAATATCAAATCTATATAATATAATGTGTCTAGGGCACATCTAGATGTGCTCTAATTATTGCACATCTAAGTGAGTGAATCAAGCATAAAGAGAAAAAGAAAAAAGAAAAAGAAAATATTCACACGAATCTCAATGTAAGATCGATGACATATGACTTAGATGTGCAATACTTATGGCACATCTAGATGTGCTTTAGCAAAATTGTATAAAAATATATCTTATTGTGTATTTAGTGTTACTAATCTTGTATTGTGGTTGTTTAAAGTTTTTTCTATAATTTTGGTCAAATTTTGTACTGTTTGAATTGAGAGAAAAAATTATAGATCTTCTTTTAGGAGACGGAGACACAAGCCTACTTGTTTTTAGGATTATGATACAATATTTGATTTCTTTTTAAGAAATTGCAAGAACAACATATCGATGCTTGCTAAGAGTCTAAGACCAGATGACCAAATCACCATATTAGTCTCGCTATCAGCAGGGTCATCACCTCCTGCTAAGAGAATACTTTGCATCCAACCAATTGTTTTTTAGGATTATCTTACGGATTATCTAACTGAAGTCTTGCACTGAAAATTTGACTTAGCTAAAAGAGAGTATCTGAGCAATTGCAAATATAGGGTATATTGATATTCTCGGTACCGCATGCCATACACTCAGTTTGATGGAATTGCTTATCCTTAGAAGATCTTCCATAGTTTCACACATAACTTTTTTTTTGTTTCACCCGGTCAATAACAACATAAGGACCCGCACAGAAAAAAAATAACATAAAGGGTTTTGGGGGATTGTGATGTTTGCGGATTTATCTCATGCAGGCAGCTTAATTTGTATGCTTGCAGACATATTTTTTTTAAGGAATCATTTGCACTGCACTTTATATTAAATTATTTTGGCTCAAATATCTTGGAGATACTATGTTTTCTCTATTATTGGATCAATCACTATTTGGTGCAAATTCATGCAACAATCAACCCTATAGAATACAGGGAAGCATGCCAATGCAATTTGGTCTTTATTCTATGATTGCACAGTAAGAATCTGGCAGATCAAAGAGGCTGAAACAATTTCATAGAAAAGACTATTTTGTATGATTTCACTCATAAGTTCCTGAACAATTTCTAGAGTTGCAAAGGAAGTCCTGTGCATGACTAGGCTTCAGAAAAATAGGCAACCAAATAGTATGAGTTATTTGTATGATTTCACAGGCAACCTAGAAATAGGCTTCAGAACAATCCTCCTATTCAGCAAAATAACCAGGCTTCAGAAAAATAGGCAACCTAGAAATAGTAAAAAAACATTACTACAAATTACCTAGAAGAGATTTGTGCAAAAGAAAGAAGAAGAGAGAAACACTTGAACTTTGCGTATGCTTCGTTCAGTTTGCAGACTTTCAGAGGACTTGTTGCTCCCTGAGACCACGAGACACGTCAGGCATGAACTGTCTATCTTCGAGTGGGCAACAGTACCACCGTATATGCTGGTAGTGTCCTCTTTCCTTTTCTTTTGCCTGTCCATCATGGTGCCAGCTTCTCGCCCCTTCCCTCAACCCTGATCCTACATGGTGTCTCCATCAGAGGGATTGGAGCAAACGGCAGGTTGCTGCTGCGTCGCGCAATGAATGTTTCCTCCTCCGAGGACAATCTCCCTCCCCCCTTCCACCATCACCACCTGCAACAGGTAGCAAATCACATCACATGGATGAACTCATGATACAAAAAGAGAGGTGTACAAAGGTATAATCCGCACCATTGAGATTGACTGTATTCATGTTATATATAGAGAGAGACATAAGAAAAATCTCCTTCGAGTAAGATACAGATGGACCTATGCATAATATGCACATGTTAACAAGACTCCAATGTTAGCAATTTGAGTAGATTTCCAATAGACAAACTTCGCAGTGCTACTGACTATCCACATTCGGCCCGAAGAAATCTTAAACACCCATTACTGATAGTATAAGTACAAGGCTCCAGACGAATAGGAGGATGGTACGAGAAAAATCTCTGGCACCGATTAAGTTTCTAGCTAATGTGTGGCTGGAGATATTACCTCGTGTTTGGGAAACACTTTCTCCAAAACTTTGCGTGCTTCTTCATCCCACTTGTCACCAAAGGCTGGTGCTACAACCCCACCATTGGCGATGTAGAAGTTCACATACGACCCAGCTAGCCTCTGCTGCCCTAATGCCACCTGCAACCATCATACATTGTCACCACACAAGAACCAGTGAGATATCGCGAGCTCCTAAGGAGTACTCACTGAAACTATCTGTTTTGTCCAACAAATACCGGCAAAGCTGAAATTCATGTAAATTTGCTTAAGTTGTAAAGGAATTTAACATCGGGTGAACTAGGGTAAGACTGCAAAGCAAAACTTAAAAATATATGTATCAAATACCCTTACCAAGCCTAGAAATGGTTGTGCTTCTTCTTCAGTCATGTACAGTGGCCCAGGGACATGAATCTTGATAATATCTAACTTCCGGCCCTTGGCATCAGTGGTATTGGACAGAACATCGAATGCGGCAGCTGAATGTTCATGCTGAGGATCAGATTTGTCATCGATCCATGATAAGAGGACAGTGGATGGTCCCGCAAAGCAGCATATGTTGTCAACATGCCCACTGATCACTTCATCCCCTGCAGAGTCAGAGGCTCAGTAGCAAGTCGGTAGCAATGTAAGCACCAAAATGATACTCCCTCTGTAAGAAAGTATAAGACGTTTTTTGGATTAGTTGGCTACAAAAAACCGTCCTACATTTTGTTACAGAGGTTGTAATTTAAGTAAATGGTACAGAAGAAAAAAAATCACTTTATACACTACGAATATGGGGTGTTTTTGACTTTTAATAACATACCGAAAAGCCCTTTGGGTAACCATATGACCTTCGACACACCAAGATGAGTCTTCAGCTGGTTCTCTATCTCATCCTTACTCATATGGGGATTTCTGTTTCCATGGCATAAACACTGCTCAGTGGTGATACATGTTCCTGTGTAGAGGGGAAGGTGCCTTTGATTTATGCAATAGGATGCAAATATTAGAGAGCTCTACAAAATCTAAATCTGAGAATCAGTAGGATAAAAATTTCAAATATAAGAGAGCTCTACTAAATCCAAATTATAAGGATAAAAATTTCTAATAGCATAGGATGCAAGAATGCAGTACAGCACTTCTGCGACAAATAAAGTGGGGGAAATAGAATGGCCAGCACTTCTAATCTTTCAGAGAGCAGAAAGTGTTTTCGAAACATGGAAGAAGTTAAGTGGGTTGATCATCTCCATGCTACCTTCTCCGTCGACATGAATGCTTCCACCTTCAAGAACAAAATTGGTTTCAAACCTAGGAATCCTCTCCAATTCCAAAACCTACAAATAAAAAATAATAGTAAGCACTACCCAGAACTCAAATATTAAACAAGACAAACTAGAGTGATTAGTTGCCAAAAAATATTAAATGCTTGTGATTTGGGATTTAGTAAAAAATTACCTTCCTGGCAACAAGGTTGTCTTGAGTTATATGTTCTTCATGTCCTGTGGATCCAAACAAGAAGTGTTTGTTGAATTCAATACATGTTACCCATTAGCTGCCCAGAGCTCCAGAATTAGGTTGCAGTAACATGTAAATTGAAGCTCTAAGTGAAAAACTTTGGCATTTGAATGCACCGAAAGCATGTGTCAACTATATTCTCACATAAAAGAAAACTGTGGTAGCAGAAAAAAATGCACGGTAATATCCAAAAAGTAAGACTATAAGCCACATATTGCAACTTTACGGGTACATTAAGAACTGTGCAAATATAATGATAAAAATAAAAGTACGGTAGTTCAAAACAATGGCAGGATATACCTTTTCTCCTATTGAGCTGATGATCTTCTGGCCCAAATAAATCATTATAACCTTGATAACAGCACAAATTAGATGTTGGTACATATTTCTTGATATCACAGACTGTGAAGATGGAGGTAGTACCTCCATATGCATTGTACTGCCAATCCACCCCTGCAATTTCTCTCCTCGATCTTGCGTCGCCTTCACGCACAACAAACTGATGATAGAACAAATAGTGGGTCAACAAAGCCATTTCCAGCGAGTACAGCGATTTCCTCCATAAAACAGAGAGGGGAAATCTTACACTGGGGCCCAAATCACGCAACCAAACAAGATAGGCGCTCATCTCTACCACTCTAACGTTGGATTTATGTTCCATCAAATGGGCTACCCTCGCGTACTCCACGGGTGCAAAAAATAGAACAAAGGTAAACTTCTAGGGTGAAACCAACAAAAATTGAAGCCGATGATATTCGTATCCTGAATCTCTGACAAATGATCCCAAAAAAAAAAGGAATCTCTGATGGATGAGTCTGCATACCTGGGCAGCGTTACAGCATACAGTGACAGGCTCAAACCTTGAGATTACATCTACAACATTTGCAAAGGCTTTTTGAGCAGGGGCAGCCGCATCTCTCCAAAATCCTTGAGCATCCTGGCATATAGCAGTACAAATATGTGAGCCTCCAGTGCAAATCCTTAACTGTCAGGCCATGCGAGAAATGTGGCAAGCATTTCTTCGGAAGAGCACAAAGGCAAACTACCACGCAATTCCACACAGGCTAAAATCAGTAGTAACATCAACATGAAGGTGAACAAATCATACTAAAAAGATGAATTACTACCACATAATTAACTACGTCCAATGTAGTCAACCATTGGTCCACTATATCTCACTAGAAGAAATTTGTTTATAAAAACTACCAACATTGTGCAGTATGGTCCGCAATCACCAATTCACCATAACAACGGTACATTTCCGAAATGTAAAGACCGCAAATCGGCAAATGAATGAAATTTTGTGAAATTTTCATCATCTAGCTAGGGTTCCGTGTTGGCCTCCTTCTTGTAAATGTTTACAGAAGTAAATAAAACTTCAAGAAAGAGCAACCAGGTCTCTCAAGAGTCAAGACTCAAGAGCACCTCAGTACTGACCGGCCACCCAATCCAGCACTGGTCGTGCGGCTCCCACTCAGCCGGCATCCGGAAGCCGAGCGCCGCCGGGGTTCCATCAAGAACCTTCCTCTTCGCCCCTGCCTTGGACGCCGCGACGGTGGCGGCTCGGTAGCCTCGCCGGAGAAGCCGGAGCTGGGTGGGCATCGATTCTCAGCTTTGCTTTTTTTTTTTGAGACAATCTCAGCTTTGCTTCCTGCGCTCAAATTGGTCAGGGTGGACATCATCATTTTTTTTAAGGGTAAACTTTGTTTTTGCCACTCTAGTTTTTGTCAACTTTACTTGAGTCACTTTAAAATTTGACATTTCACTTTTGCCACTCTAAAATTTTGACAATATATCACTTTTGCCGTTCCGTGGCAAAATCAAAAAATTTAGAGTGGCAATTGTGATACATGTCAAAAGCAAAGAGTGGCAAAAATAAAATGAAAAATCACCGTTTTTACCATGGAATGGCAGTTGTGATGTATAATGTATTGTCAAAAGTTAAGAGTGGCAAAAGTAAGATGTCAAATTCTAGAGTGGCATAAGCAAAGTTGGCAAAAACAAAGTTTTCCCTTTTTTAGGGTAAAAGCCTTTTATTATTCAAAATCCACAAGGTATGGGATACAAATCTGGTCATGTGGCTGGTCAAGCCCCACATGACGCCCTAAAAATAAAGACAAAGTATATTTAGCTAACTTGTGGGCTTCAACATTAGCCTCACGCCTTTCAAAATGGACATCATCAACGTGACACAAAACCTGGCCAAATGGCCTGGCCCGACTATAAAAGGGTCTGGGCAGGCCGTGCCGTGTCGGGCAAAGGCCTGACCATGCAGGTCAGCCCGACACGGCACCGCTGAGGGCCAGCCCCGAGAGAGTAAGTTGACGAGCGCTCCTTCGGGAGCCTCGTAACTATCAGTGTCACTTGGCGCGCTCTCAGCCGCCCGTCACGTGTCGCGCTCTCGGCGCTTTCTTCAGATTTTGTTTTTATTTTTATTTTTCTGCACATGTTTTTGTTTTATTAAACATTTTTTTTTTCGATGTTTCGGTTTTTTATCGGTCTTCCTTAGCTTCAGGTCAAAAAAATTGCGTAAAAAAAGCGTGTTTTCTTTTTTTTCTTTCACGAGAGTCACGGTTTTGCTTCCGCGAAAGGCACGGTTATGCTTTCGCAAGAGTCACGGTTGTACCTCTCAAAAACGGAAAAAAATATTGTTTTTTTCTTCTGTGAGAGGTGCGGTTTTGATTCCGCGAGAATCACGATTGTGCTTTCACGAGAGTCATGGCCGTGCCTTTCGGAAACGAAAAAACCACGTTTTCTGTTTTTTCTTTCACGAGAGGCGGGGTTTTGATTCTGCGAGAGTCACGGTTGTGCTTTCGCGAGAGTCATGGCCGTGTCTCTCAGAAACGAAAAAACACATTTTCTGTTTTTTCTTTCACGAGAGGCAGGGTTTTGCTTCCGCAAGAGGTACGGTTGTGCTTTCGCGAGAGTCACGCCCGTGCCTCTCGAAAACGGAAAAAATGTGTTTTCTGTTTTTTTTTCTTCCACGAGATGCACGATTTTGCTTCTGCGAGAGGCACGGTTGTGCTTTCGCGAGAGGCACGGCCGTGCCTCTCGGAAACGAAAAAAACGCATTTTTTTTTCTTTCGCGAGAGACACGATTTTGCTTCCGTGAGAGGCATGGTTGTGCTTTCGCAAGAGGTCACGATCGTGCCTCTCGAAAACAGAAAAAAACGTGTTTTTTTGTTTTTTTCCTTCAGCAAGAGGCACGGTTTTACTTCCGCGAGAGGCACGGTTGTACTTTTGCGAGAGGCACGGACGTGCCTCTTTCGAAAATGAAAAAAAACATACTCCCAGGTTGGTTTTTTCGTACGATTTTTTTCGTGAAAAAAGTTCATCAAAACCTATCAACATGGGATCTAGTTTTGAATATCTCGACACGAGGAATTCAACGATGAAAACAGTTCAAGATTTGGACGCATGGTTTAAGAGATAAAACATTTTGAATAAACGAATCTACGAAAAAATGGAAAACTCCCCGGTTGCGACAAGTGGCGTACATGCAGCACACCACTTATCGCAACCTGGGGAGGTGGGAGTGATCTTTGTAACGAGTACTCCTCAACTAGTGATTTCAGCAACTAATAATATTGAAAGGTCCTCTTCAAAGATTACTTTAGGTGGACTGAACATGCGCCACCGTCGCGTGTCGCGTTTTGGGTGTCTTCTCGGGATTTTCTTTTTTCTTCCTGTGTGTTCGGGTTTTAGATGGTTTTTTTGGTTTTTGCCCCGTCCCCCTAGGTTTTAGACAAAACAAAAATTAAAAAAAAATTACATGAAAAAGTGAATTTTCTTTCGTGAAAGGGACAGAGTTGCTTCTTGTTGAGGCACAAATTTACTTCCGCGAGAGACACACAACTGTGTCTCTCGAAAAAGGAAAAAAACATGTTTTTTTCTTTCATGATAGGCACAAATTTTCTTCTCATAGAGACACAGGTTTGCTTCGCGAGAGACACAATAGTGACTCTCGCAAAAGAAAAAAAAAGAAAAAAACTTTTGCGAGAAACACATATTTGCTTCTCGTGAAAGGCATAGTTTGCTTCATTGTTCCTCTCAGAAAAGGAAACAAAAAAAGACTGTTTGATCGCTACCCCACCAGCTCCCCTTCGATCGATCGTTGTCAATGCTTACAACGATTTTTATTTACAAACCAGCTTACTAATTTTTCTATCTCTCCTGATTTTATGCCGGTTAGTCTAGGCGGGAAGAAAAAGGAAATAAAGTGCTTAAAAGAGGACTTGAACCCATATCTAATAAGTAGCTACTAAACCCAATAACCAACTCAACCACTTTTACATGTTGTCACAAAAATATCAAAAAGAAACTCATAGTCATGGGGGAATCTGAATCCTTCTTCCTTCTACAATGTCAACAAAAAGGTTAATTTCAACATTGATAACGTTGGCATGAGCAACATGATAAAAACTATGGCATGTGTATCCTTGTAACTTCAACATTAGCACACTGGTAACAAAAAATGGCATGATAAAGCTGGTAACTATATCGTAAGAAGGCTAGTAACTACATCATAAGAAGCACGGTAACTTTAACATGTGCAACATGGTAAGTTTGCTCAAAAGTTACCAGGGGATATATTTGAACTACTCCCCCTCTCCCAGGTGAAATTTATTATGGTGTTTGATCGTAGGTTATTAGGAGTATGGTTTTGTGGATATAGTCTGAGACGTATCAGCATCCCTTGTTTAATCCCTACTCGTCCTTGAGTAGATAGATGATAAAAATATTTTTTTGGTTGTGAATGACACTAGCATGAATTCTAATCAATTCGATGTAATTGCGTATGATCTTAAATGATGGTGATACAAAGCAATTGTCTATAGTTGATATAAAGCAAATAATATCAAAATATGCAAGTAAAATCATTATTGCTTTTCATGGATCAGAACTTTCACGTCACACTCATCAACACTATAAGGTTTAGAATGAATGTCAATTGTATCATGAAACGTGATGCTCAAGGTTGTATCGTATCAAACGTTTTACTATAACATGACCCAGAGCACCGGTCAAGTAACTAATCACATGACTCCCTTTTCAACTACATAGTACCCACACGATGTTCGAACACGAGCTTTGATATTTACACTTATCAAATGGACAAATAGGATAATGATGAGGTTTAATAAGAAGTTGAAAATAAAGAAAGTCGCATACCAACATGTCTGATCATCAGGCAATGGAGACGCCTTATAATCGATATTGGTGCAAGGAGTAGGAATTAATTGCCATGCAACGGACACACTAGATCTATGAGTGTATGAAAGCTCTCCTAATGGACTAGTGGGGTGTGCATCCAACTCACTTGCTCATAGAGACATAGAGCATTTGAAGATGCTCCTCATAGGAATATGCAAGCAAAGTTCTATTATGTGGAAAATCCCCAACTAGTATAGAAACATAAAGCATATGGAAACTCTCTATATGATAAATCAATGTGCTACATTATGAAACACATATGTATGCAAAGAAGTATAGTAGTGTGCCCCCTCTCTCTTATATTCCCTTCTCCTTTTATTGGTGGCTAATAGGTCTCAACTGTATCTATAATTTTTTATTGTTTCATATTATTATATTATCACTTTTATATACTTTTTGTAGCAATTTATATTATTTTTGGGACTAACCAGTTAATTTTGTGCCCAGTGAAAGTTTTTGTTTTGTGCTTGGTTTTGGTTTCGCAGGAAATCCATATGTAGGAAGGTCAAAACATGACGCAAATTTTTGACGATTTTCTGGACCAGAAGAAACCCTAGAAGCTTCAGGGAAGGAGAAGACGACCACCAGGGGTCCACATGGCTAGGTGGCACGCCGTATTTAGAAGAATTTTATCACCGCCACCAGTTCCTGTTTCATGAAGATCCAATCTGGAGGCCTGTTCCGGGGCTCTGCCAGAGGGGGAAGCAATTGCCGAAGCCTTCTTCATCGACCCATGTTGCCTCCATGATGATGTGTGAATAGTTCCATCAGGACCTTAGGGTCCATAGTAGTAGCTAGATGGCTCTTCTCTTTTTGGATCTTCAATACCATGTTCCCGTGAGCTTCTCACATGATCGGGATCAATTCAATGTAAGCAGTGGTGTGTTTGTTGGGACATGGTAAATTGTCACTTTATGATTAGATTATTCATTGGAATCAATTGAATTTGTTGAGGTTTTATTTGTTTTATAATTAAACAGCTTTGCATGCTCTTTGATCTATCTATCTTCTTTGGCCAAGTTCGATGGGTTTTTCTTCAGAGGGAGTGGTGTTTTGTAGTGGGTTCAATCTTGCGGTGCTCTAACCCAATGACAATAAGGGCCAAGTCACGTGATTTATTATTGCCACTAAGGGTAAAACGGCGGGGTTTTGTCATATTGATTGGCTTCTTCATGTCTACATTATGTCATCTTTCTTATTGTGATACTCTGTTTCTTGCAAACTTAATACCTTAAGATGCATGCTGGATAGTGGTTTTGGGTGGAGTATTAGTTGTAGATGCAGTTGGATCAACAGTCTATTTATCACGGATGTAATGCTTATATGATATTATATCATGAATGAGCATATTCATAAATATTGCAATCTGGTCAATTTCCCAACTGTAA